TGCTCGCCACCGTTGCGTCCGCGACGACCGCGCAAGGTATGTTATAATATAATACGCTCCTGTGTGCTGTGCGCGTTTACCCTCTAATGCTGTTGCAGTTGCCCTCGAAACCATCGCATCCACGACCGTTGAACAACGTATGTTTCATAATTCATTGTACCACCACTTACACTCATGCGTACATGCAAACAGCTGTTGACGCTGTTCAACCTACCGCCGAGCTCGCAACGGTTGTACCCGCGGACGATCAGACCGACATCTGTGCGTTTTCATTGCGTCGTCGTTCCAGCCCAGGTCTCATCCTGTTTCAGCTGAATGCTTCCCTGGGTCGCTGCCACCGCTCACTCAGTCCTCACCTCCAGGCACCCCTTTAGACGGCTTTGCCACCTCAGATGTCAGCTGGTTCAAGAACGGTCGTGAATCTGAAGAAGACGACACCAATGCTGATATCGCAGAGGCGCGTGATCCGCTCGATGAATGTGCGCACTCGCTACCGTTGTCGACGTCGAACATCGTTGACCCTCTCATATCCTTATTTCTTTGCTTAGCATACCATCCCACGCAAGGTATTGACACAGCCGATCGGACGCCCGCAGACACCCAGGTTCGGCCGAAGTGGTGCGTCCCAACACAGAATCAATTCCTTCGCATCATTCGTGACCCTGCCCCCAAAAGCAGCTCGCCGCCACCCTTTCCTCCCGCTCATTGCACCCAGCTGCTACAAACGTCGCGTGCAGCTACTGGTACGTCGACTTTCTTTTGTCTTGTAGCCCCACGACCGATCCGACTTTCGATCGCTCAAAATAATCACAGGCTCTTCAGTCGCGTCGACAGTCCTCGTCGAATGGCAAAACAGAAGAAGAAGAAGGCACGTTTCACCACGCCAAACATGCCCATGACGATGAACGACGAAGCTCATCGTCCTGCCGAACGTTTATAGTGATCGAAGTTTTCGCGTACTGTCTTTCTTTCTCGCCACCCCGTCCAAATGTCCTTGTCTGTCGTGTCCTATCGCTTGCCAATGCTTGTACTTGTAGTTGTAAATGCAAATCCACATGCCGCTCTTGACCCCATCCGAACCGCGATCCATCCTTCGTTCGTCCAGCATAACCGTGCTCCTCATATCAGATCCTAACAATGTCCATCTCCTCCGTCCGCCGTTTCATTTTATACTCCATCCATCCCCTCTTCTTTGGCACCACCCATCCCCTCGTATACTCGCCCCAACCTTTCGACTTTATCGCCTTTCCATTCACTCGCTCATATCGATTCAGACCGTAGCTACTTGCTTCACATGTAGCGCTCGCAACGGTGGCGAGTGCGCTCTACGAACCCCTTTCATTCCTTGCAAGGTACCCATTCATTCTTGACGTCCCGTTCCATGTCTGAGCAGCATATGTCCCATTCTCTCATTCTGACCCTCAACGTAGCGTTCGCAACGGTGGCGAGTGCGCTCTACGAACCCCTTTCATCTCTGCAAGGTACTCCCACTTCATCTTCAGGTCCCGTTCGATCTCCGAGCAGCAGATGTCCCACTCACTCTTTCCGATCCCTACCCGTCTCCCAATCCTGCAACGAACTCGCGTCCGTCCGAGTTTTCTATCGAGTCCCTCTCTATTTTCCTATGCTACACTTTATTCACGCATCAGCAAACACTTATCTGAAGTCCCCATATAGGCAGCATTGCACAGCGCTACACAGCGCTGTCCATATGGGGACATCCCTGCGCATCCAATTAGCGTTTTGCTGATCCATCTCTCTCTCCTATCTACCTTAAAACTACAAGTCCTCCCGCCCAACATCTCAGTCCCTTTCCCAACCCTCATATGTAAGTCCAACTTCCCCGTTTTACCTTACAAACCACACCTGACATCCCCTTACGTATGTTTCTTATCACCTGCTACAATAGTCGACCCCTCGGTCCGTTTCCCAACGCTCCCACTCTGATTTCTTATCGCCTCTATTTCTCGCTGTTGCAATCACCAAGTCGTCCGTGGTCTTCAGTCTGAAAACCTTGCCCTTGCTACGTATCTTTCACTTTCATATGTCCCCTCGTATATCTTCATTCTACTCCCCCCTGTCAATCTCAGCCCTCAAATATACCTCCCGCCCAGCGTATATTTCATTTATCGCACTTTACACAGTTTCATATTTAGTCTACTACGTCGCGTGATTCCTACCTCAGCCCTCGTCTCTCTCTCCAGTGCGCCACTGACGTCGGTACTCTTTTCATACTCCGTGTTCTTAAGTCTCTCTCGCTTATGCCCATTACCTACCGTATACTATCTTCGTATGGTCACCCACAGCAAAATTTTTACTTCTATTGCTCCCTTCCTCTAATCATCTCATCACCACACTTCAGACCATTTTGAGCGCCCTCCACAAACAGCCCTTCCCCTCTACAATACCTCTTATACAACTTCCTCGTGCATGCCCCTCTGCCTCTGCCTCTGCCTCTGCAGTCGCATCCCATCAATAGTAGCCCTCGCAACTCTTTCTTCCCCAAACATCATAACATGCGGTAATGCAACGCTCATCTCCACTAGCTTCACAACGTCTTTGTGCCTGGTCTACAGCTTGCTCCAGCATGGTCTTCCTGCCTTCCTGCCTTCCTGCCTTCCTGCCTTCCCTCCTTTCATTCCCATCGCCCCCGCAATAAACAATCCCCTCGCCATCAGCCCTGCTGATCGCCTCACTCTGAACAACATGAATCCTTACTTATGGAAACAATCATTTCCATCCCCATCCCATCCTTCCTTCTTTTGATCCTCACTTTAACCCGTCAGGCGTACAAAGCTCCATTTCACTTTGACTCCTCCATCAACAAACTCTCGCCGCATGCCTTCCTGCAATACAGCACTGCACAACGCCACAGCATCATCGTCCCATTGCTACCATTGCCGTCCTACATCCCTGATGTCGACCATTGGCGCATGAGTCATCACAAACAGTCTTTGAACCATCTGCAAAAATGGTTGTCGTCATATACCTGATCCGACCCCTCCAACAATATTAACATCCACTCCATTCCCCCCGACCCTTCATCCCTCCCGCTTTTCAATCACCTCTGCTCCATCCGCCCTCCCCTCCTTTCAATCAGCTTCCCCATCCCCTCCTGTGGTTCCGCTCCACCCCCTGACCAGTCGCCTTCCATATCGTCTCCATTCAACTGGAACCTCTTTCCCCATTTAGGTATATACTTTCCCCTTTCGCACATAGACCTTACTTCCGGATCACCGGTAAGTCCTATAACCCCTCCATTACTGATCCCATGCGCACATATCGATATCCGCCCTGACTTACGTCTTCGCCTGTGTAAGTGCTTACAAATCGTATGCTCGGTACATAGCCTTACGCCATAGTCTCCTGACCGCTGCCTCCTACTTAGAAGTATATAACCATACCCTGTACCTAGCTAGTTTCTCCAGTCTTAATATTACTTGCCTTCTTGCAGTTTCTACTCGTGAGAATTCTCAGTGGGACCTTGCTCCCTCTGGACGCAAGTTTTACCTTGTTGTCGCCTCCAACCCTCCGCTCCGACTTAGAGCCGTGCTCTAAGTCTTCGCTCTTACTTCTCCACCCCTACCAATCCCCTTGCTCTCGTCCCCTCACCGCACTCTTCCCCGCATTTCCTGCTCCGCTCCTAGTCGGCCCGCCGCTAGTAGCACTTACTTCCTGACCCTCAAAGCGGGCGGACCAAAGCGGTCTACTCGTTCTATTGTCGGACAGCATCGGACCCGCTCCAAATTTGGGGCACATGCTCGGCTAAGGGCGCAGCGCAAGAGCTGAAGCCAAGCCCTGACCCCTCTGCTTCTCGGTCTGAGCATGGTACCTAACAGTTGTCATGCTAACTTCCTCTCAGGTACAAAGATGAAGCCTACGAACATCTGTTGCAATGCCTCTTCGCTGATCCTAACGACTATATGAACGGACTTCCCAATGCCTCGATCAAGAAGTTGACCGTGCGCGAGTTTGCCCTCCATATCTCCCAGATGTCGCAGGCCAAGGCTCCAATATCTGTTGCAACCTGTCTCATTTCCATGGCGCCGTCGACCACCATCTTTCACATCGCTTATGTTCGCATGCTCAAATATGACCCAGAATGAATGTCATATTTCTGAGTAGCACTCGCAACGGTTGCGAATGCTATGCGACCGATTACTATTACTATTACTATTACTATGAGTAGCATTCGCAACCGTTGCATGCGTGACGACCAAGCGTGTATGATTCAATGTCGCCTGAATGGTCTGTAGTGACATATTGCGAACATCATGTTGCATTGAGTCATGATGACGACCGTTGCAAATGCGGAGTACACTGAATATGCAGTCGCATTGGGAGTCGGACCTTTAATAAGAAGATGGTCGGAGGCTCCACAAGACCAAATACTGGTAATGCGAAGGAAAGTGTCTCAAATAGGGGCGACTGTTAAGGCTAGCTCCTAAAAACCGGAAACAGATTCCACACGACCATTTTGTTGGGAGCAAGCCTTGCTCCACATTTTTAACAGTCCCCCCCCCCCTATTGTGGAAGCAACATTGTGGCGGAAGGCTTTCCTCATGAATGTTCATATCTGGTCATGCCAGGAATTGGTCATGTGGAACCTGTGACCGGTTTTTAGGAGCTAGCCTTGACGGTCGCCCCTATTGAGATGCTTTCCTTCATATGACCAGTATTTGGTATTGGGGAACCTGCGACCCTCGTAGCCTTGCCTCTGTTGGAGCACGTTGGAGTTGATCTACACTGTTTCCCATGCAAGGGGCGACTGCCAAAAGTGGAGCGAGATCGGTGGCCCATTTCATGGGGACAGCATTCCTCCACATTGTTGCTCTCATACAAGGAGCGACTGCCAACAATGTGGAGCGAGACTGACCACATGAAATGGAAATGGGCGACCAACCTTGCTCCACATCATTGGCAATCATCCCTTGTATGGGAGCAATGATGTGGAGGAAGGATTTAGCGGTGGAAAAACAGATCACCGACTGGCAAGGGGCATCGAACCTTGCAATCAATATTCAACGGCATGTTTCATAAAATCGATGCTCATGCTGAAGAAGCCTTCACACGAGTTCACTATGCATGCATTGGGTGAATACTGTGACGACGTCGTAGCAAGCTTGCGAAGATGGATCGTACATCCATCCCTGCATGGCTGATCTGCGATCACAGCAGTTGCTTCGTGATCGAGCAGTAATGCTCCTTGATTGCAACATATTTCTATATGAACAGAGCCCATATGTGGGCCAAGCGGTTGAAAGGCAGCGATGGTGCCACTGAATCGATCTATATTATCCGACAATATGATAGGATAACAGCTGATGATGCTGTCTAGGTGTCGGCCCAAGATGATGAGCCCTATGCAAGGGGGACCAATCTTCCTCCATTTTGTTTCTCCCATGCAAGGGGCGACTGCCAAAAATGTGGAGCAAGATTGGTCGCCCATTTCATGGTGGAACTCTATCATGAGGCCTAACCTTAATATTGCCAGTATGTGGTCATGCGGAACCTGCGACCCTTGCAGCCTTACCTCTGTTGGAGCATGTTGGAGTTGATCTCCGGCGAGCCTCCTATCTGTCCTTCGAAGTTGAGGGCACTGTACTGGCATAAGGAGCACAGGGCACGAGCTGAAGGATGATGGAGCCAGCGTGCAGCCTATGCTGCCCACCGCCTATATGATATTTCTGAGTAGCACTTACAACGGTTGCGAATGCTACAAAACCAACCACGCACCCCTACAAGACCGAGCCAATCATGTATATCACACTCGAGCCAAGTAGCACTTGCAACGGTTGTGAATGCTACAAAACCAACCACGTACCCCTACGATACCGAGCCAATCATGTATATCACGCTCGAATATCATCCGCGAGTAGCACTCACAACCGTTGCATGTGCGACATTTTCAACACACACGCACACATCTGCATGTTTGGTATCTGCGGTTGAAGCTTGAGCCAATGTCGCAGCGTCCGTAGCCATGTCTGCTGCTCGATGTTTATGTTTTGGCAGACTGCAAGACAATCTGTCAAGCAACGTCAAACTCGAACTCCATTTCCTCAAATTCACCCAAGAGAAATGCTCTGGATGTCATGAGGGGCTCCCTCATGCAGCTGTGTGAGGTGCATGCCAAGGGATGTGCTGGATTTCCAGTTGATTTGCAGCCACCACATAGACGTCCTGCATGAATCTCTCGGTGGCTGCAAGAGCGTTTTCAGGGGGATATTTGCCACTCAGAAATATGACATTCGTCCGGTTTTGGTTTGCACACCGGCTCCATCCTTGTTCAGGTCGGAAGTAGTGCATACCTGTCACATGCCAGTTCTGACCCCTCCGACCTTATTTATATCCTCCCCCCCCTGTTCTATATCCTTTCCGATTTTCTCACGCTTCCGCTTCCGCTTCCACTTCCGCTCCCCTCATCTCCACTCAACCCAGTCGCTTCCCACATCCATTCCTACCCTCCCACTACACCCCCCTCATTGGTTGCCTTCTCCCTTAGGTTCCATTCAACTGGACCCCTTTCCCCATTCAGATATATACTTCCCCCCTTTGGTACATAGCTCTTACCTCTTGCATCACCGCTTAATCCTATACCCATCCGATCACTGTTCCATCTCGTACATATCGACATCCGCTCCGACTCATATGTTTTTCTGCGCAATCCTACTTGCATGCCGTTCGCTCAGCACATAGCTTTCTGCTATGCATGGCTGAACGCTGGGTTCTTACTTACAGTATATAGCATATCGCGTGCTTGGTCTGTATTTACTTAGGCTTAATATTGCTCGTCTTCTCCCAGTTTCCGCTGCAGAAACTCTCCGTAGGACTTGCTCGACTCCGCACACAAGTTTCATCTTGTCGCCACCTCCCCTCCTCCCCTCCCCTCTGACTTAGAGCTGTGCTCCAAGTATCTACCTCTATCACCCTCCGTCCAATTAACTCTACCTCCGAGCCCTCTGATCCCTTCTGCCTGCCACTTGCTTGCTCCACCTCTTTGCCCCCTTACTGGTGTGCCCACCCCTAGTAACCCTTGAGCTTGCGACCCTCAAAGGGGTCCAAAGGGGTCCACTCCTCCTATATTCAGACAAAATCAGTACCGCTCAAAATTTGAGGCATGTACTTGGCTAAGCGTACAGCGCAAGAGCTGAAGCCAACGCCTGATGCCTCCGCTTGTTTATCCAAGGACGGTTCCCAACAGCACGACATGATGGCGATCCCCCTTTGTCAGTTTGCCGATCTCGTGTCCATCCGGTCGCTCCCATCATCTGATTGTAGGTACGTCATCATAGTTGATGTGTCTGATAAGGGTCCCTAATAATCTAATCCCCGGAGTATGGGGCATACTCCGACCGCAACTGCCATATCAGGAAGTTGCGTCCAGCCGCGACTACCATATTGGGAAGTTGCGGTCGGCCGCAAGTCGGCCACGAGTAAGGAAAGGTCAGCCGCAAGTAAGGATAGGTCAGCCACAAGTAAGCATGTCAGCCGCAAGTAAGCAAAGGTCGGCGGCAAGCAAGCAATAGGAGTGAAAAATAAGCTGTCGACGGCTTATTTCAAAAAAAAAGTGGAAAGCAAAGTTGTAGCCAGTAAAGAACTACATATAAAAATAGTGGTGTGAAAAAACATATGTATATAAAGACACTAGGGCTATACTACGAGCCGCAAGTAAGGTAATGAGTCAGCCGCAAGTAAGCAAAGGTCGGCCGCGACTTATATGGTCATTTCAGAAATACATTTCAAAGTTGTAAAAAAATATCTTCTGGTGGGCTGGTACATATGTTAGAGGGTACTTTCAGGATGGATATGAGCCAACAATCAAAGAAAACGGCGGTTCGGTTATGGAGATATTGCCAAAATACTGACTTTTTAGCCCCACCACCATATGTCACAAACATTGATCTCCAGATGGTCCAGGACCATCACCAATCGATTCCTACACCTGAAAAACCCCAGGACAGTCCTTTACAGTATCGGTTTCAAGTTAAAATCAAGTACAGCAACATATAGGAGGTAGGAGGGAGGAGGAGGACCTTGTATATCTCAGGAATATGATTTTTCCAGGGAAATCTGGCATCACCACCGTGTTCAGAGGGATCAAGAGCCCCCAGGAAAAATGCTTTTGGAGCACTGGCAAGTCATGGGAAGTCTGTAAAAATCGATCTTTGGGTGGGGCAGCATGACAGGGGTGGTCAACTTTGGAACATGATTTTTAGAGCGAAATCTGGCTCGACCATCGTGTTCAGATGGTCAAATAACCTCCAGAATGAATCCTACCTAAAGCCAGGCAAGTCATATGAAGGCTGAAAAAATCGATCTTTGAGTGGGGCAGCATGGCAGTGGTGATCAACTTTGGAACATGATTTTTAGAGCGAAATCTGGCTCAACCATCGTGTTCAGATGGTCAAATAACCTCCAGAATGAATCCTACCTAAAGCCAGGCAAGTCATATGAAGGCTGAAAAAATCGATCTTTGAGTGGGGCAGCATGGCAGTGGTGATCAACTTTGGAACATGATTTTTAGAGCGAAATCTGGCTCGACCATCGTGTTCAGATGGTTCAATAACCTTTAAAATGAATCCTACCTAAAGCCAGGCAAGTCATATGAAGGCTGAAAAAATTGATCTTTGGGTGGGGCAGCATGGCAGGGGTGGTCAACTTTGAAACATGATCTTTTGAGCGAAATCTGGCTCGACCAACGTGTTCATATGGTCAAATAACCTCTAAAATGAATCCTAGCTAAGGCCAGACAAGTCATATGAAGGCTGAAAAAATCGATCTTTGAGTGGGGCAGCATGGCAGTGGTGATCAACTTTGGAACATGATTTTTAGAGCGAAATCTGGCTCAACCATCGTGTTCAGATGGTCCAATAACCTCTAAAATGAATCCTAGCTAAAGCCAGGCAAGTCATATGAAGGCTAAACAAATCGATCTTTAGCAAGGAGAGCATCATAGGGGTGGTACTCAACTTTGGAACATGATCTTTAGAGCGAAATCTGGCATGACCAATGTGTTCATATGGTCAAATAACCTCTAGAATGAATCCTAGCTGAAGCCAGACAAGTCATATGAAGGCTGAAAAAATCGATCTTTGAGTGGGGCACCATGATAGGGCTGGTACTCAACTTTGGAACATGATTTTTAGAGCAAAATCTGGCATGACCATCGTGTTCAGATGGTCCAATAACCTCCATAATGAATCCTAGCTGAAGCCAGGCAAGTCATATGAAGGCTAAACAAATCGATCTTTAACAAGGAGAGCATCATAGGGGTGGTAGTCAACTTTGGAACATGATTTTTAGAGCAAAATCTGCCATGACCAACGCGTTCATATGGTCCAATAACCTCTACCATGAGTCCTAGCTAAAGCCAGGCAAGTCATGTGAAAGCTGAAAAAATCGATCCTTGGGTAGGGCACTATGATAGGGCTGGTACTCAACTCAACTTTGGAATATGATTTTTAGAGACCAAACTGGTATCACCAATCCATTCATATGGTTTAATAATCTCAAGAATGAGTCCCAGTCAATGACAAATTCGTCATATCAAGGGCTGGTAAATCGATCTTTGGATGGGGCACCATGACAGGGGTGGTAGTCAATTCTGGAACATGATCTTCAGAGACCAAACTGGTGCTGTCAATCAATTAATAGTGTTCAATAACCTCGAAAATGAGCCCTAGTTAATGACATGTTTATCATATAAAGGGTTAGTGAATCGATCTTTGAGTAGGGCAGCATGACAAGGGTGGTGGTCAACTCTGGAACATGATTTTTTTGGACAAAATGAGCATTGCCAGTGCATTCAGAGGGCTTCATAATCTTAAGAAAGAGTCCTAGTTAAAGTCAGACAAGATGGATGAAGGCTGAAAAACTCGAGCTTGAAGTGGGGCATCATGACAGGGGTAGTGAAGACAGCACTGGAGATGTTTGAGGTCAATCAGTCTCAAAAAGAGAAGAAAGAGGTGGATGGTCTGCCATATTCTATATTCTTCCCATTATATTGCCTTTGAATCTCATCATAGAATGATTGGAGCCAAATTGCAAGGATTTAGGGTGACATACCCATGACCGTATCTATGACTGTATCTACACCCACATGGTGGCCTGAAGTGCTGCATTTTCTATGGATCTATCCTATCTATATGTGCTGTCCGTCTGCAGGGGTGCAAACGTCCCCGTCCCCCTCCTGCCTTATTGGGACGATTCTCATGTAAGCGTCCCCCCGTCCCCCTTCGCACGGTCCTTTTTTGGGGCCTCCGCCCTTCTTTCGATCGAAATCCGTGCTTTCTCCGTCGTGGGAGCGTCCCCGTCCCTTTATGGCCGTCCCCCTCCCTTTATGGCCGTCCCCCTTGCCGTCACCTCTTCTGCATTTGCATCCGTCCCCCCCCCTTATGCAACCGTCCCCGTCCCTTTATGGCCGTCCCCGTCCCTTTATGGCCGTCCCCGTCCCTTTATGGCCGTCCCCCTTTCCTTCATGGCCGTCCCCGTCCCTTTATGGCCGTCCCCCCTTGCCGTCACCTCTTCCACATTCATGTCCGTCCCCCCCTGTCATGCGAGATGGGCCGCGTTCTTACCGTTCTTACCCCGGTTTCATCGTATGACTCGACCTCATCTTCGTCTCATCACTGTGCAGCAACATATAGAGTCACTGGCATCAGGCATCAAGGGCATCCAACATCGCACTGATGTCGCTTATTTTGCATGCCTAAACCTTGTGATACAGCTGCAATGCCTGCTCACCCCTCATTTTCTGTATTTACCTGGTAATAATTACATAGGTGTATTGCTACATACTCTACGGGCATAATCACAGAACCATTTCCAATCACACTTCGCGTACAGCGAGCTGCAGGTGAATTCAGCAAAAGGTCGCGCTAAGGGACAGAAAGTCGGAATGAGTGGTTGCGAAGAGACGGAAAGGAATTTGACGTCGTCCTGACATGCTGTTGCATGCCCGATGCCTCAAAAGAGCGAAAATACTTCTGCCCAGCCTTCAAGGTCGCATTATTGATGGGTGATGAAGTCAAAAGTTAGACAAACTCACTGGTCGGCACCTCAAAAAGCGACAACAATCCATGATCGCGAGGGATGCAGATTCCTGAGACCCCCGTGCCTCACTGCGGACGTAGATAGAGTCACCTTACATGTCAGCAACCTCACAAAAGCAAAAACAATTTACCTGGCCTTCATCGAAGGATCGCTCGACAAGAGAGCATCAGAAAGACAGGGAAATGCGAAAACAAATCCAGCCAACACCCAACCAGGCATGTACAGCCCAGAGACTCTCTCATGTACAGAAAGAGGGGGGAGCGACCCCATCATGTAGAGCTTCTTGAAGTACAACAGAAGCACATCTCTCCATACAGAGAGACGTCTACATGACAGTTGGAGTACATAAAGGAAAATAGCCGATCCAGCCAACACCCAACCAGGCATGTACAGCCCAGAAACTCTCTCATGTACAGAAAGAGGGGGAGTGACCCCATCATGCAGACTTCTTGAAGTAAGACAGAAGCGCGTCTCTCCATACAGAGAGACGTCTACATGATGGTTGGAGCACAAGGAGAGAAAGTTGCAAAGATAAACCAAGAATACACATGGCCAAACATGACATAATGCATGCAGTGCGGTCGTCCTCGCTATGCATCTGTTGGGCGTTTCTCATGTCATCCTGAGGTCGTATAGAGCTCAACGAACCCATCGAAATATCATCCTGCAAGTGCGATTTGGTTGGGGCATCAGAGATTGATCGATACTCTTACCAGTAGACTGAGTGCTGTGGTCGTTGTGGGGTTGAGTAAGTCAAAAAGAAAACTAAGGTGCGGTGCATTACAGCACATCACATATCCGAATAAATCGGATGGCCGAAAACCCAACCCCTGACGGAGGAAAAACAATGCCACAGCCTTTTTCCTGTTGGCAGGGAATGGACGCCATGGTGCCAAACCCGTTTTGCAACCGGTAAATGTATCTTCTCCCAAGCCAGGGCACTTGCGTTTGTTGATCCGCGTTCCTATTTTGTTGTTCGACAGTCCCATTCGGGCTCCGTATGTTAATCCCTGGTTTGAACCTGCAGCAGGGCCGACGGCCAGCACGCTTCCAAGCCTGTTTGGCACAAGCAAATGTCTAAGTCTGGATTATGCTCCGAAATAGGGCGCTCGGACGTACTGAACTGAAGCTATTCGGGTCCTGTGTATGAATGCGATGGGCTCTTGGATTTAATGCTCCGCAAACCTTTGTATTGGTGCGACATTTTTAATGTAGGCAGCGATCGCTCCAAATGGCTCCGTCCCTCCATTTTTAATGTTAAGCGTGACCAGGGGTGCTTCGATTTGCTGATCTACGCACCATATATGCTCATCTTAAGGTTGAAGGGTCCGTCCCTCCATTCCTCTGACCACTAACTGTCGTTTTTTTTCATTCTTTTTCTTTGGGTGTGTTTCTTTTTTTTTTTTTTTTTTTTTCAGCCTGTCGCAGTCGCATTATGCTACATCCCTGCAGGTTTAGGATTGTTGATCGTCGCAGGAAATTGTATAAGACTGCATGTGCTCAAAGCTTCCGACCACCAACTATACAGCACCAGACATACCTATATCTGCATATCCTCTGCTCGCCATATAGATGTCCAAATACTGTGAATTTCCTGACTGCGAAGGCGGCCCATACACCAATGAAGAGGCCCGAAAACACAAATGGCGCTATCACTCCTTCCCTGCTTCCTTCATCATCGGGGGACGCGAGTACATCGTGGCACAATCCGACACTCACTATGCCTGCCCATTGCCTGGGTGTGACAAAGAATTGAGGAAGCGCGACGACATGCAGAAGCACGTCATCGCTGACCACAACGGCGGCGTCTCCATCAAGGTCTTTGACACTCGTGATACTCGTGAGCATCGTCGGACAGCTGCTAATGATCGCCTTGTATTGACCCGCGCCGTTTTGTGCTCAGCGATGGACCAAGACCGTGATGTCTCAGCGCAAGCTCTTGTGCCAGGGACTCCGTCCCCTCAGGGGATTATTCCCACAGGTGAGAATGGCGGCATCGATCAATCTCAAGCATGTTAATGATATACGTCCAGTCGACGATGGGTCTCCTGTCGATTCTGACACGGTTAAACTCCTGCCGTCGGTGGACTACTTGAAGTCGAACGAGGCTCTTGATGCGCTGGGGGTCTGTGTGCATGTGGAGCTGAAAATACTGATATGCTATACGTGCCAAGCGCCATTGACCTCTGGGATGGTGGTCGGTCACAGAAAGAAACATCAACATTCGTACGAGGCATGTCCATCGGTCATGCACGCCTCGAACTCACTGACTCTAAACCACGACACGTAACAGGTGCCTTCTACAGCTGTTCAACAGGCTTTCTTGGCTTTCTGCTCCGAAGCCGAGATTTACGAAAAACCCGAGTGCGTCAAGCTACCAAGTGCTGGAGGACCTCCCATTCAGCTCATCAGTCCCCCCACCGCCGGTTATGCATGTGTTATGTCAACTGACTGCACCTACTCTGTCAAGGACTTGCCAACCATGCAAAGGCACTGCAGGGAGAAGCACAAGACGGAGCCCTTAGCAAACGTTCGACATCGAGCATGCCTCGTTCAACGGATTTTCACTGGGGTCAGAGGCTCATATTTCGAGATCTCAAACGACCTTCTTCCAGGAGCCAGACCTCAGCTCAAAGACAGGCTCAAAGAAACGTTCTTGCCTGGATTGGATGCTCCCTTGGTCGTTCCCGCTGACACGGAACGAGAACGCACCCCGCTTGTCCGCTGCATGGCCTGGGACACGTTCATGACAGAAACCCGCATGAACCCCGCGCAGAGACGAGCGGCACAAGAAATCAAGAAGCAGCACGCTGACAAGGAACACGATGGCATCCTCACCCGACTCGCTGAGACGGTAGACGATCATTTCCACAAAGCAGCGACTATCTTGGATGGTCATCCCCAGAAGCTCAGCCTAAGCAAAATCTTGGTGCACGGCAAAAACATACCCCGAGAGACGCGAGTTATTTCACCACCGCTTGGGATCATCTTTGCTGACCCTCCTTCCGTCCGTCCACAGGGATACATATTGGAAGCCGGTCGCAGAATCAAACAAGAACTATCCCAATCATATTATACAATTCGTCCGATGCATGATTCGCCTTCACTTAGATTGCCCTCTTAAATTCTCATTCTCCCTTTCCGAAGAGCAAACCCGTCTCCTGGAGGAGCTGATAATGCTCTTGCAGGATCCCCATGCCTCGCGTCGCAGCAGGATGATTTCCTACCACAATCTGGCTTGGTCCCTCGTCGATGCCGACCCGACGCAGTGCGATGCATCGTGGGCAAACCCTATTCAGAGAGCCATCTGGCTCAAGGCATTGCGCGCGGATGGAAATTTCTATGAAGCCACGGATCTCACTCCCGACCTCGCAAAATGGAAGTACTTTTGCAATTTGGTCGCGATCCTGCAAGCATTGTTGGACAAAGACCAGGATACAGACGGCGTGCATCCAGATGACTTCGAGTGAGCGACTCGTGACGTTTACTCTCTACTTAAAAACTGAACCCGCATGGCTTCACCAGGCGCGTCGCTCGTGTACACGAGAAAGCGCTGTCGCTGGGTCGCCCTACGTCATTCAATATGATTTATGAAATGCAGCAGTATGCATCATCTCTGGCGTTCAATCAAACGCAGGAGGCCAAAGTGTTCGTCGATCCAGACTTCAAATGGATCACCATCGGGGTGGAAACGATGCACCTGGACAAGCTGCGAGAGGGCATCCAGCATCTAGCACAGGACATGAAGTCACGCTACAGGGCCCTTACGCAAAGCAACAACGTGATGACCAAGATGCCAGATCAGGTGAAGGATGATCTCACAAACACCACGAGGGGCTACTCTTTTATATCGGAGAACCCGTTTTTCGAGAAGCGCCATTCTCTCCTTCTCTTCTTGGTGGAGCAGTATAACCTTGCTATGGTGGACAACGCGGGTCGCATCGCATGGAACATACCTGCAGTCAAGGAACTGCTGAGACGCACCCTGCGCATCTGGGAGCCGGCATACCATTTGCTCTACATCACGACCCACATTTCTTCGCGCGGAACTCAATTTATTGATCATCAAATCTCCAATGCTGACCGACACAGGAATCTATTTATGCAAGGAGCCGAGATGTTCCTTCTGACCGGATACAGTAAGAAAACGAGCATCACCGATCGAGACTCGTGCACCCCAGGGTTTGTGCCCAAAGATATCGCCTTCTGGATTCTTGAATTCTTGGGAGGGGGGGCTACGGACCGCTGAGGCCATCCTGGCAGGGATTGTGTATGGCAAGGATGCAGAGCATCTCTACAGAACGTAAGCATCCTCTGGCCCTCGGGTCATCATTCTGACTGCATTCTTGCATTCCAGCTACCTCTGTGTCGGGGATGGGAAGAGAATCAGCCCGGCAAGGTTCTCTGCGAACGTTCAGCACATGAACTATGAATACTTCGAATGTCGATGGGGATTGAGAGATTTCCGCCAAGGCACGATCACAATGGGTCGTGAATTCATCTCTCCCAACGAGTCGTATGCAGAAGCTGACAGCATTCTGGCCGAGTCCGCGGATCATTCCACTAATACGGACCACGCACACTACGGCATCGTCCATGGATCAGTACCGAGATTGTCGAACAACACGATAATCCAGCAAAGATGGGTGTCGAACGAATGGCACATCTTCCTCAGGTCTCGGTTCCTCGCCGCCTCAACAACCGGTTCGATTGCGTCGTGCGGAAATCGCGAGAGCGACGCGAGGGGTCGACTTCGAGTCCATCTCTGACCAAGTCGTAAAGACCATGACTGGCGTTCTCACCTCATTTTTCAACGACGACATAAAGACCCTCATCCAACACGCCGTCTCTGCGAGCTTGCAAGAACACCAGAAAAGTAACGATCCCACCGGACTCAGTTTGTCTAGCGGCTGGGCGCCGCCTGCCATGGATCTGGAATTTAATACCTCGGATTTGTTCTTCCAGGACGGGGACAGGTGAGCACCACCACAGATGCCTTGGAAGCTTCTGTCTCAATCGCCTGCAGGGAATGCTACCGCAGCAAAGTCGCCGCGCAGGTGAATTGGGACGTTTGCTTTCAGACTCTCCCTTCCACCCTCTTCTGCTGCCCGCCGTCTCCCATTTGAATATCACCGGACTTATTATTGCCGGACCCCGGCCCCCTCCCCCGACATTGTGCCCACCAGCGATCAGGAAGAAAATGTTTCACGGTCAGGAAATCGAAGGGGACAGCTGGAGCCCTATGATGTCGGCCAGCCTCCACCAGCCACCCCTGCCCCTATGGCTAACGCCTCATTACCTAGCGATCTGGGAGAATTACCCGCGGTGAGGGCATGGAAGGGGAAGGCTAGAGCTATTGATGCGGACAGTCCTCGCCAACCACCGCCACCGCCAAGTGGAAGGCTACAGCCCATGCCTTCGACCAGCCTCCGTCATTCACCACCGTCATGAATTCTTCGAAAGGGAGGTCCAGGGCGCAGGCTATTGAACACCCGCCGCCGTTTACACTCGCTGGCAAGCATGGGCCGTCTAGGACCGTCGTCAATGCTTCCAAGGCGAAAGCCAGAGACGAAAGTATTAAACAGCCCCATTCCACCGCATCAGCCCTGTCGAGTTCACCCGCTGTGGCGACAGCAGTGCATGCTTTTGACCGGCCGCCTTCATTCGCCTCCATCATAGATCCTTCAACAGGGAAGGCTAAGGTGCAGGCTGTTGAATCGCTATTCACACCCACTGGCAAGCCTGGACCGTCGAGGACCATCGCCTATGCTTCCAAGGGAAAAGCCAGAGACGTCAGCATCACCCAGGCCCATTCCTCTGTATTGTCCCTATCGAGTTCACCTGCAGTAGCGCCGATGGCATACCGCAAACATCATCGCCCTCAGCATATCAGCGAGCCGGATGATGATGATGAGGAAGCGCCTAGGAAGCTCAAGCGTCTTCGTCGCCCAGCACCGCAGCTCCAGACGTTCAGATGGAGACCATCAGCCAACCAGCGATGACGACCTCTCCAGCTTCATCGTCCCTGATAGCGGTCTGTCTTCGTCACCACCGCCCGTCGTTCAGGAGATGAGAAACAGCATCCGAGGCGATCAGACAGATCATGAAGGATCCTACCGCTGCAGAAAAGAGTCGCGACCAGATGGATGCGCTCGTTGCCATCATGACTGAAACTCACGACCTCGTCATCACCATGAAGACTGGAGGAGGCAAGAGCATGTTATGGATGGTTCCGCCGGTGCTAGACGAGGCTGAAAAATGCATCGTGGTCTGTCCGTTCGTCGCATTGCTCCAAGAACAGTATATGAAGACCGCCGCCACTGGACTACGTTGCCACGACTATACTGCGCGCAAAGATGTGCCTGAAAACGTCCAGGTGCTCTTCGTGCAGGTGGAAAATTGTTCGTCTCAAGCCTTTGCTAGGTAACAGAACCTCTCTTATCCTGCCGCCGAAAATTGTTCGTCTCAAGCCTTTGCTAGGTAACAGAACCTCTCTTATCCTGCCGCCACAGCTACTCACATGACGTCCTCAGTCTCCTGGTGTCCCCCTCGGGAAGAAGTTTACCAGATTCTATGTAGATGAGTTCCACGACGTGCTCAACTGCCATCCAGATCGCGCGTCAAAATGGCTCACTCTTGCTCGCCAATTCAGTGCGGCGTCGGTGCAAATGATTCTCATGTCGGGGACCATACCTCCTCACCGGGTGGGGAGCTATGTCAAGCCATTCGGGATCCTGCTGCATGACATCAACGAAGTCAGGTTTGCGACAAACCGTCCGGAGATCGGCATGCACGTCGCACGCGTGGAACCCATTGCGGCAAGGGAATCCCTGCATCACCTCGTTCATACTCTATCTCTACTTCTGGGAGACGAAGACCGCATGCTGGTGTTCTTTAGCTCCACAGCTGAGACAGAAGAATTTGGAAGAAAGGCTAGGT